AGGCAACAATTAACTATGTAGACCCAGTGACAACGTTGCTGCAGGAGAGACTAAAGCATTGATGAGTCACTTCTTATATTCTAAAACAGGTGACAAAAAAATAATGTGATTTTTTAATGGAAACCAGTGGTTGAATGGGATCCCCCAATGGGACATAAGATTGTTGATGGCTTAGACTCTATCATTTCCTGTTAAGAAAACTGCATAGACCTGGGATGAGACGACCTCATTAATTCCTTTCTCTCATTAAAAATATAGTAGACCTCATTTCCTTTTTTATCTTTACCTTTCAAGTGCCAATTAACAGAATTCAACAGTGTCTGGAACATAAAGGATGCTCAAGAAATATATTTGTGATTGAAGAATGAATGAATAAATGAATTTATTGAGCACAAAGTATGTGCCAGACCTTGTTTTAGGCACTGAGAATACGGCAGTGAACACAACAAACAAAGATCCCTGCTCTTGTTGAGCTTTCATTCCAGTAAAGAGAAAAAGGCAATAAATGAACCCAAAGTACAACGTACAGCGAAACGTATAGCATGCGAAATATTGATAAGGACTTTAAAGAAAAGCAAATCTGGGAAAGGGAAGAAGCGTGTAGGGAGGGTGTGGATGACGTTGAAATTTTAAAAGTGTTCTCAGAAAAGGCACAACTGTCCCTAATATTTGCAAGACCTGGAGCAAGAATACCAATGGGGCCTGCATACTATATTCTAAATATTCTAAAGTTATAAGTCAAAATAACAAACTGTAAATTAAAACACATTCCATCCTCTTACTTTGAAATATATCTTCAAAATGACAAACTTGAAAACCTGGTACAAAGCTATGGCTTTTATATGACAGAAGACATCAAACATACTGAATTTAACTATTAATGTGTATTTCTGGGTGTCGTGTTGATGGGCCAGCCATGTTCATGTGAATAACCAAATATATAATTCATAACATTTCATATGTTTGTTCCATGAAATTTATTCTGTTTTTATTTCAGCAAAATCCCTATGTAAATAATCACATTTTTTACATCATTTTGTCCTAATCATCCACAGGATCAAAAATAAAATGTAATTGTATTCCAAATAAACAAATTTAAATATTATTTCATCAGAAAAGTAAGTCAAAATAAATACAAAAGATTAAAAAATAAAATTATGTATATGTTTTCAAAAAGATATTTTATTCTAAAATATTCAAAATTACATACTAATTTAAAAAGTAAAATACAAAAATAATTCATGAATATGGACTTTATACTGAAATTTATTTGAAGCTGAATTTTAAAAATTTTAGTGAAAATATAACTAAATATTTTTAAAAAGTTTTTGAAAAATAAAACTTCATAATTCTAACATTCAATATCTGTCTAGTTTTCAATGAAAACAGGCTTATCACATGTCATATATGCTCCATCTAAACCTACATACATACAGATTTAAGAATAATGCAAATTCTTCAATATTATGAACTGTTTTCAATCACTAAAGGTAACCGTTGTGAAAATTATGCTAATTCATGAGCATCGCCAGAATCCTACATTGGAACATAAAGAGAAACAAAGAAATGAATGTTCAACATTATTTGGAAATGATATTTCATTAAGACAATATGCCTTTTATGTTATCCTAGAGGAAAGATTTAACAAGTTGATTAGATTATCTTTACTTTTCCCCAATATATTAATCATCTATTGGCACATAACAAATTGTTCTAAAACTTAGCTACTCCAAACTACAAGCATTTATTATCTCAGTTTCTGTGGGTTAGGAATGTGGGCAAGCCTAATCTGAATGCCTGTGGCTCAAAGTCTTCCACGAGGCTTGGATGACCAAGGTGTTAGTCAGGCTGCCTCTCAAGGCTCACAGGAGGCGGAGGATCCGATTCCAAGCATACCCACATGGTTGTTGGCAGGCCTCAGGTCCAAACTGCCTAGAGTCCAAACATCAGTTCTTGGCCATGTGTGCCTCTCCATCTGGCAGATCACAACATGGCAGCTGCTTCCTTCAGAGTGAGAGCGAGAGCCCCAGTAGAGAAGGTAGAGTCTTTTTTTCCATTTTATAACCTCGTTTCTGAAATGACATCCCATCACCTTTGTCCTGTCTTATTGGTTAGAAGGGAGTCACCAAGTCCAGCCCACATTCCAGAGAAGGAAATTACAAAGGGACGTGAATATCAGGGTCTAGGAACCATTTGGGCTCCATTTTGGATGCTGTTAATCATACCCAACTTCTTTCATGGTTCAAAACCTCCACACCTGCTGAAGCTTATAGTACAATTTGGAGCCCTCTTAAAGTAAAAGAATGCAAAATCACAAACACAAATTAGGAACAAAAGTATTTATTTAGAATGCGAAAATAAATTACCACAAACTACAAATCTAATAAAATGGGCAACTATAATCATGACAAAATCTGGAAAAATAAGTGAATTTTATTAATTAACTGTCTGTCACAATACTCTTAATACTGTTACCTGTCTCTGTAATACTCTTACCTACATTTTTGACAGTAGAGTCTTCGATCATTTCTTCTGATGACAGCAATTTGATAGCATATCTTTTTATAGATAGAATGTAAAAATAATATCTTTCATCCAGCATGGTTGATTAAAATTTGTTTATTTTTATTTTTTATAGGTTAGAAAAGTTTTTTCTCAGCTTTACAACTTTTTATTGGCAATGTCATAACATTTTAGAATGTCAAATTTGAGAAAATGTCTATGAACTTTCTTTCTTGTGTGAGTTATAAGATTAGGAAAACTTTTCTTTATATAGATTAGTTTTTGGCTCTGGACATTTTAAGCCATGTTTCTCATCTACTAATCACATGTTTCTTGTGCCAGATGCTGTGAGATACCTTCATTTCATAATGTAACCTCTGGAACCTGTGCATCTGTGTGTCCCAGCCCTGGGGAAGTTGGCAGAGTTGAATTAGATGTATTTCTGGAAGCTATTCCTACAATGGGACAAATATCAATAAATATATAACTGTCATAAATTACATGAATATGTTTTACTAAACTTCCTTTTAGCTGGAACCCCAAAATGTCTGTAGCCACTTGATATAAGAGGCAGCATGATGGAGGGGATGTCAGAGTGGAGAGAGACAGTGGTCTAACTTTAGTTAAAATAGAGTACTTTTGAAATTTTAAAAACATGACTATGAAGATGAGGCTTTTCCAAAACCAGTCTTAAAGTTTGAACTTCATTAGTTTCTTCACAAAGCCACCTCTGTTCTTGACAAAAACAAGCTGAGGTAGAAAAAAAATCCCACATGAACTGCATGGTGCTATACAGACCAGATCTAATTTTCAGAATTCAATAAATTTTGAAGTTACTCTTGATTAAGAAGTGTAGTCACTGTGTGGCTTCATCTTTGCTGAGAGAAAGAGCAAGGATATGGATCATTCTATCCCTCCAGTCTTCTCCAGTTCCCATGATTCCATGATTCTTCTTTAAAAATATCTCGGCACACAACTAAAAATGCACAGCTATGTACTGGGGGGCTTCGGGGAGAAAAAGGAAAAATTAAAAACTTAAAAAACAATATCTTGAGTGCATTCAATGTCTCAGAAAGGATGATGGAGACTCTATGCTATCCACTTGAACCTGAACTGGAGGAAGGTTCCCACTGTCAAAAGAGCATTGATGGTGAAGGGGAAGTTGGCTACAGGGCTAATGTCTAAGTCATGCTAGTAGTGATGGCTTCAGGAGGGGTGGCTGTGATGGGAAAGCTGGAGCACCCACCCCCACGCACACACACTGGGGCCTCCAACACAGAGAAACTTCTGCATCGCAAATTAGATTGCACTTAGTTTCACCTCTGAATCATGGGTAGGCTCAGTTCTTCCTGTTTTTTATTTTTATCATTTGTCTCTGTTTGACATGGTATTAATGGATCGTTTTCACTCAGATGGTACTATGCTCTGAAAATAAAGCCTTAACTATAAAGAGCAAAGAATTCAGCAATGACATCTGTCATTCTTTAATTAATTAGAGTGCCCCTAATAAGACCCAGAAGAACAAATATCACATCTGAGCACAATTACATTATATCTGCATGATGCCCTGCACGTAGCAGTTCTGGGCTTCCTGTTTTTCCATATGTTACAGAAATATAGATAACTCAGAGCATGTCACAAATTTAATCAATGTTAGATTATAGAAACCAAGCCTAAAGTTAGGCTTTAGAATTCAGTTTTGTAAATACTCAGTGGAGGGACTTTTGCTATTTGAGGAGTTTAAAATGTCTCAGTGGAAATTGAAGTAAAGTAATTAGGTGGCAATCAGGGAATAATTATGTCAGTGTTTTGTAACATGATTGTTTTTACTAAGTCCCACATTAGTCTAAATTGTGGTGACTTTATGTCCAGAATTTTTGGGAACAGTCCTGGTTTCAAATTTGCTGTCTCATCCCGCACAGCACCCCCCCACCCCCCGCTCCAGCCACCCCAGGGAGGCTTATGTTTGTCACACCATGGTGACCAAATCTTTGGTTTAGAAAATATAAACATAGAAAAATTTGGCTAAAGAGAATATGTACTTTACTTCCTAGCATCGTTTTTTAATTGCTAAAGCTGCAAAGGTAAAAGAGAAAAGCTGATATAAATACTGTAAATCAAGAGGCAATCCAATAGGATCTCTGTGGCAGAAGGCTTTCATGTTAATAGTGAAATTTGGGAAGAATCTTTAAATCAGCTTTTAAGAAATTCACCATAGCTTGAGCCAAATGTGTGAGTAACATTCGCTGCAGGTTGATTTCTGCTACTTTTACTGGCAAACAATGGCCAACTGCCAAAGTATGGTCAACCCACACAGCTGTTTTCAATGATTCATTTCCCGTGATTTCCCAGCTGACCCATTCAGAAGGGGAACAGCAGGTTTCAAGCTGCAGTTGCTAGCCTCATTGCTGCAAAGAGCCCTCCCCTTCAATTGTGGGAGTATTTGAAAGGCTTAAGCGAGGGGCAGTTACCCTTGGAAACAAATTCCATGACTGGAGTGTAAGCAGGCAAGAGAGGTTGAGAAGAAACTGAAATGTTGATTTTGTGGTGAGGTGCTCCCCATGGCTCTGAATCATAGCATGCTTACCTCTTCAGCTTTCTCTCACACTACACCCAGACTTTAGCCCAACATTCCAACCACTCTGGCAGTTTCCAAAATACAGAAGGTTCTTTCACCACCCATTGGTACCACTGGCTGGAATGTTCTTTCCTCTTCTTTGTTTGAGAACCTCCTGCCACCGCCAGGGTGCAACCCAAATATTGCAGACTCTTGAAGCTGCTAGAAAACCCTCCAAGGTAGGTTAGAACTACCTCATTCTTAATGGGGGATATTGCCCACAATGGGGTGAAAATTGGCTCTTGGAAGGTAAAAAATCCTACTTCTTTAATGTATAAAGCACAGATATACATAAAGTACATAAACAAACATGCAATTTATCTGTAGTATGACAATTTCATTTTGGGGGTAGCGATTAGAAGAAAATATGTAAAAAGGCTCCTTAAGTGAGCATTAATGATAACAGTTTTGAGAAACCCTGGGTTACACGCTCCTTTGTGTCCTATGAGCATCCTAGTTAGCTTGTTTTAAGTCACTGATTTTGGATGGTGTGCTGCTCGGCATTATTGCAGCAAAGGCTGACTGATACCCCTTTTTCAAAGGCCTTCCTCCTCCCACTCCAGTCGTGATTATAAGTCTCTTGAGAGCTGGGACACTGTCTTGCGCTCCACTGCCCCCTCAGGACCAGGCAGAGTGCTGGAATGTAGCCGTAGCAGGTACTAAGGAGATGTTTGCATGACAGCTTTGACAAGATCGTGGCTTCTCAGGCCTGCTCAGGACTTTTACACCCATTGTGCTCTATACAGGAGGCGTCGGTCCTTTCTCACTCTTTCAGCACCTATGATTTGATGTGATGAAGTTCCATGAATTTTTATTCCATCTGCAATAGCCAAAGGACTGACTCAAATTTGAACATAGAGTGGGGATGTGTCCTGTTCAAATATCCAGTGGGTGCTTTTGCTCAGCCGTGTGAGGGTGTTTGACATGCCCTGTCTCCAAAAGTCATGGTGTACCCCCGGGTAACCATGTCTCCGTCAAGGACAGCATTTTCACTGTAACATTAGTTGATTCAGAAGTACTGGGTACCAATTTGCAGCCATATTTGCAGCTTTCTGTAGCAGCGGCACAGATCCCTGTGACTGCTTTAGATTACTTGAAAGTCAGTATTGGAAAACTCTCCTTAAAATGATTTGTACATATCATTCTTTTATTTTATGTAGCTCGTTTATCAATATCCTGCATTAAAATGATGATGAAGCAGCATAAGATAATGACGGAAGATAGCCAACTCTATGGAGCATGTACTATGTCCCATCCATTTTGCTAAGTATTGTCCATCCGTACCCTCATTTAACTCTCCCAATAGTCCTATGAGACTGGTGTTACTGTTTTCCTGAACAACAGATGAGGAAACTGAGGATTAAGACAATGAAGCAATCCTCCCAAGGACCCACAGCCAGAAGGGGGAAAGCTAGAATCCAAACCCAGGACGATCTGACTCCAGAGCCTAAGGTTTTAAAGCACGATGCCAGTACAAAACAAAACAAAACAGAAAGTTTCAAAATACATAAATAAAATGCTGCATTCTAAAAGCATCTAAATGATGGTGATTATGATTACTGTTAACAAGATGAAATAAATGGACAGCACATTTCAATCTGCAGAGCAAGATGAAATTTTGGCTTGGGATATGTGCACAGCATTCCAGTTTCAGGTCTACATGTGGAAAATTGACTGTCCCCAAAGGTCAGAAGTTGAAAAACAGATCCCAAGGAAAATATTGCAATGTGTTAAAGAATTTGCATAATGAAGCTTGTTTGAAGTTATTGTTTATAGAAAAGTGTGTGTGGGGGGGCGGTTGGTGAAAGGAGACGAGAGAGAGTAGGGAGGAAAAGACTAAAAGAAAAGGTTTCAGTTCTTTGCCTTTGAGTCTCCACTACCCCCCCACTCCGATTGCTAGCATCAATCAATTTTTTTTCATAGAAGTTGGCGTCACAATAGGACATCAGTGATTAAAAAAGAAAAAGAAAAACCCAAATGTGGAAAGTGAGTTCATGGCTCAGAGAGTGAAATTAGAACAGACCTTTTCCATTTCTAGGAGACATTACATTTTCCATGTGGCAACATTTCACCTGGTCCCTTTGAACGATTCAGCCACATTTTGTAGGCTTTAAAAGCAATATGGAAGAGAATGGTATTCCTTAAACTTAAGTGGCATAAATTTTTTTAAATTGTGGCTCTAAAACAGAGGGGAACGGTGATAAAGGCAAAATAGAATTCAACTCTTTCACTAAGAAATGTCTCCCAAATGAAATTTCAGATTTTATTCTTATCTGAAAACTCCTTACTGCCCAGGAAGATTTTGTGAACAAAAACTGATTTTCTAAGACTTAGCAGTGATGCTGGTTTACTCCTATTTTTCCGCTGTTTTGTTACTGGAAGACAAACAGTCTAGTTGAAGGTATGGTCTGGAGTAAGGCTTACGACCACTGTGTTCATGGGCAGATGACTTACCCTCTCTGACCCTCAGTTTCCACACCTACCAAATCGGGCAATAATATTTACTTCCATGGGTAGTGATAAGTTGAGCGAGGAAGTATATATATGAAGGGTCAGCTCAATATTTTTTTCCCTTCCTTCTTGTCCTACCTTCTACAGTTGTAAAGTAATTTGGTTGGCAATATTTTCTCTAATGTTTCTTCCCACTTTGTAGTTCTATGGTAGTTAATTCACATTGTCAGAGATATTTTTTATACTCCTTGGCTTTCCTGATTGAGTTTCCTGTAAAATTTTCACAGGTAATCAGAGAACAGAGGCAAACAGGAAAGAAGGTGTGGAGGAAATATCACGGTGTGGTTTTGTGTGTACAGCTGACCCCTGCTGCTTGTGGTCCGAATTAAGAAAAGCTGCACAGTCACCCCAAAACCGGAACTTTTAAAGTCACTCTGCAAGTTCTAGTTGAACAGATATTTCTCAAGAATGCCAGCTGGAAAGGAGGATGGAAGGCTGTGAGGGACACAGAAAAAAGATACCAAGGGTTATAAATAAATAAAAAAATCATTTCTTTAACTCTTTTTTTATTGGGAGGCATTTATCAAATATATCATGTGCATTACATTATATAATCCTTTCGATAATTTAGGACAGAAGCATATTAACCCCATTTTGCAGATGAGAGAACTGAAGTTCTCAGAAGCTAAGTAACTTCCCCAAGTTTAATCAGCTAGTTGGCGACTCGGCCAAGATTCCAAGCCCATCTGGAGGATCCAAAGGTGGTCCATTTTACAGACTGATTCCAAGTGATATATGAGCCAGGATGTATAATTCAAACTAGTTTAAGCAAAAATGGGGAATATATTAATTCTCATAAGAACCAGTCCCAGAAATAACTAGTTCCAGTGGATATATACACCGTTGGCTTGCCTGCACGCCTTCTTTACTTCCATCATTCCACACCCCCTCCCTTCTTCTCTCTCACTTCCATCTCTCTCTATTTCCCACAGTTGGAACCCATGGCCACAGGCAGCTTCAGTGTCATATCTTACAACTACATGACAGGGGAAATGGAAGGCTTCCCTGCCTTCTCCTGAGATAAACTGTAGTCAACCTTCAAAACCAGAAACCAGTTTAAGAGGCAAAGTGTTTATTTGAGATCAAAGAATTGCAACTCAGGGAGCACAGATTTAGGTAGAAACCCAAATAGTGTCCCAATTACAGGGTAAAAGAGGAGGACTTTTATGGGGAAAGGAAAGAGGTAATTATATGAAAAGAGGAGGAAGAGGGAAAAAAAGTCTTCTACAGGTGTTAATAAGCTAGTTTATTCTTTAGCTATATATGGCTGGTTACAAATTCTGTCTTCAGAAAGAAAGTCCATAATCATCATCTTTGTGGTCAGGATGTCTGCTTTCCTGTTAGCCTTACAAACAGTTGTTTGGAAGACCGTGTTGGTTTGACCCAGTCCAAAGGTCTGGCCCAGTTCAAACAGTCCAGAGGTACTAGGGGTAAGACATACAGGCAGTTCCTCTGAAATGGCTGCTCCGGCTCTATTTTAAAATGGCTCTGCTTATGTCAACTTTTCACACTGTTTAGGAAAGGGCTATTATTGTTCTGGTTCAGCTACCTTTCCATTTCGGAAACAATAAGAGTATACGTGGAGATGGCTACAATGACTGGTTCAGGCTGGGTCACGTGCCTGCATTTGGGACCTGGGGTCTGTGACATTGGAATTGGAAACCCCTTGCAGAATCACAACACTGGAGGAGAAGCGACAGCCCAAAAAGAAAAGAATTGTTGTTTGGGGCCAGGTAAAACAACAAATGACCACTCTCTAGGTCGGGAAAAAACATGGACTTTGAAGGTGGGTAGAAACAAGTTTTAACTCCATTCTGCTGCTTCCTGGATGTTTGGCATTGAATTTGAGTCACAATGGTAAGTGAGATATGAAGTAATAAATCCGAGCATGGTCAATGCTGATAAGTAGTTGCTAAATGAAAGGATAATAAAGTGCTGGGTAAATGCAAGTTTCTAATATTAGTATAACTTTGATCTTTAAATTTTCCTTATCTGGACTTATAATTTCAGAACTTCCCCCGTCCCCCTCACTCCCTCACTGTGGCTACTTTCCTCAGGCTCTGTGTTCAAGTAGATTATAAGCTCCTGGAAAGCAAGGACAGTATTTTCTGCATCTTTTGTAGTCCCAGAACTCCTAGCAAAGGGTTGGGCATAGCCCTGTGTTAACAGCACTTGTTTAAAAGGTACTTGTTGGGGCCAGCCCGGTGGTGTAGTGGTTAAGTTTGTGTGCTCTGCTCCAGTGGCCGAGGATTTGCAGGTTCAGATCCTGAGCACGGACCTACACACTGCCCGTAAAGCCATGCTGAGACCACATCCCAAGTACAAAGTAGAAGAAGACTGGCATAGATGTTAGCTCAGTGACAATCTTCCTCAAGCAAAAAGAGGAAGATTGGCAACAGATGTTAGCTTGGGGCCACTCTTCCTTGCCAAAACAAAAGTACTTGTTAACTTATATCATTGAAAAGATTTACAGCTTCATCACATTGGAAGTCTGCACTCAAATTTAGCACCGCTTGCACTAGTGTTCTAGGTCCTGAACAAATAAGTATATCTGAGAATAGGTATTCAGACTGTTAATGTTCACTTTTATCTAAAAGGTGCAAACGAGTGACATTTTATCAATATTTTTGGCTTAAAGTTGCAAGGTTATGTTAAATCATTTTCACGTTCAATAGTATTGTTGCCTTGAAAATGAGGAATATTATGAATGTTAAGCACTTACAACCTACCCTGCATTAGGAGTTTAATTCTGTTCTTCTCATGATCAGTTTTCATACATTTCCATGTATTAATTATGTTCACACTGATGTTCTAAAATAACCTTAGCCAAGCTCATTACATATTTTGATGGAAAAGCACTTAAATCCAAATGACAATTTACATTTACCTTTCTAAAACAGATTTGTAATGGCTGTTAAAGACATTTCCCTAAATAGACTCTGATTTTGAAATTCTAATTGAATTTTATATTTTGTCCGATAAAAAATAAGCCCATCATTATTTCAGCTGAAATTACTGGTGTCTTCCCCAATTAATCATGGCTTAAAACACGAGATACTGTTCCTTGTCCTTTTGTCAGTGGGTTAAAACTCTCTGTGAATGCTGTGAACTGTGGGTGAGCACTGAAGGGTACCTAGCCTTGATCTGCACTGTGAGTGTAGGACGTTCAAGTGTTAAAGGTGCTGGAACATTCATTTGGATGTCAACATTTCTTTTATGTGAAAATGGAAGGCATGAGTCTCCTTCCTTGCATTGCTGATTGTGTTCCAATCGGCTTGAGTCCCTTTTCTTCTTATTACTTTTCAGTTAAGCCTTTGAAGAGCTTCCCATTACTGTAGAATATAGTCCAAACTCCTTAAGATTGCCCTCAAGGACCTGCAGATTCCAGCCTCTGCCTGACTCCCTGGCCTCATCTTGTGTCTCTCTCCCCCATTGCTGCCATGCTCCAGCCAAGTTCTCCTTCAGTTCCTCTAATGAATGCGCCATGCTTCCCACTACTTAACACAAAATATATTCCTATATCTACTCCTGCTGCTTGGAAGGCTCGCTCCATCCTCTCTTCACCTGGCTAACTCTCACCAGCCCATAAATTTCTGCTTAAGCAGCATTTCATCCTGACCTCCCAGACCATGTGAGTATTTTCAAAGGGCTATGTGTTTTAGGTTTAAATTTCTAAAAGTCTAATTAGGGCCTATAATTGTTCCCTTAGAAATGGACAGTTTTGTCCCAAGGCTAGCGGGAATCAAGAATAAAGAGCAGAAGAGCAGGAACAGTTGGATTCCTTAAATGCTATTTGTATTCTTTTTCCCTTCCTGGTTCCCCAGAGGACAAGGTCAAGGAAACAGGAATTGAAGAAGGCAAGGCCTCCCAGGGTGGAGTCACCACAGATGAGCCTACAAATCCAACAGCTTTCCTGGGCTAGTCTGTGAATCAGATGAGTGAGGTGCCCTTCGTGAAGACACAGCAGGGAAGCAGTCCTTGAAACTACTCTGTCTGGGCAATTATCAGTCCCTGCCATCTTCGAGGTCTTCCTACAGCTCTGAGCGCTGCGCTCCTCACTGTTAGCGGTGATGCCTCTGGGCACACTCTTAGTCCAATTTAATCTTAGTCTTTTTAGCCAATGCCCTTCTGTCATTATTTTAAATAGTTTACAGAGGTGAAGAGTGTGTGCGCATGTGTGTGTGTATTCTGATGAATACAAACATATTTCAGCTTTTTAATCTTCCATAATCACAAATGACATTTTCACACCGTTTCTGAATCACGCCTGGTGATGTTCCAGAGTCCTGTGAGCAGATAAGAGGAAGGAAGACTCTGCTGTGGTGAAAACTGACCTCAATCTACAATTTCCTGTCTACCACACAGCCCATACTTTCCTTATTAGTGGTATTCCCATAATTAAATATTTATTTTTCTAATTATTTCTTTGATGTTGTTTCCTCCTAGTAGTCTGTACATTTCAGGAGCTTTCGTACTGTCTTTCTTGTTCATTGCTTTATTCTCACTGCTTAGAACATAATAGGTGCTCAATAAATATTTACCAAATGAATGAAAGGATAAAAAGGGGAGCAGAGATGGGGAATAGAGGAGACAAAAGAGCATTCTAACTCTGAATTCCTTACTAGCTCTAGGCCTCAACATTATGTGCTCCTGAATCTCCTCTTACTGTCTTCTCTTGATCCTTATCTCCAAAGGTGGATTTTAATCCCCCATCAAGTATTTATTTAAATGCTCTATAACTGAAAGAAATAAGCCACTCATTTTTGTGATGATGGAGGAACCACTTTAAATATTGGTTTTCAAATTTGGTTAAATCTTGTTGAAATCTATAGGGATATAAGATCTTTTAGAATAAGTTCTATTTTTTTTTTTTTTTTTAACATACAAGCCATAGAAGTTAACTGTGCATAGTCATCATTGACAGATGCTGAGTCATTCAATGTACATTTCAAATAACACAGTAGCTGACAGATAGATGCTGGGTGCTGCTTTGAGATGCAGAGGAAAAAAGCAAAATTATGTTAGAGCAGAAAAATTATTTGCAGTGGTACAAATGACCATGGAGATTCACCCGTGGGACTATAGACTGCATGTTCGGGCTTCCTGTTGAGATGAGGATGGAAAATAAAAGCATGGATTGAGCAAACAGTAAATTACAACAGTACTTCTGATTATCTGAAGACAGAGAATAATGTTCTCACTGGGGCTTGCTTCTAAGTTTCTAACAACCAGTTAGCCTGAAACGTAGAAAAGATAATTTGTCAGTTTAAAACATCAAAATGAGTTGGTAAGACATACTGTAATAGAGCTCTGAAAAATAAGGGAAAGAATTGGTAAACTGTGTGAGTGCCAATGTTCATTCCAGTTGACTGCTCCAGATTAGAAAAAGGCGCTTCCTGTGAGTGGACAAGGAAGGATCAGACAAGATGCTCAGGTAGGATGCAGACAGGGCCACAGCAAGGGCCATCTATCAGCTCTCGCTCTTCCCTCTTGGGCAG